CACCCATATAATGCCTCATATGGAGCCATGCCGATGCTAGCTTGGTAGCTGTTGTTGTAGGCAAACTCTATCAGGGGTAGATGGTCATCCCAATGGCCCCTAGAGTCCAGGACACAAGCTGAGAGCACATCCTCAAACATACGAATTGTCCTCTCTGATTGTCCATCAGTCTGGGGATGGAAGGCAGTACCAAGAGACAGCTTTGTTCCCATAACTTGTTGGAAGCTACTCCAAAACCGAGAAGTGAACCTGGGATCCCTGTCGGATACTACTGTCACTGGAACCCCATGCAATCTGACTATCTTCTGGATATACATCCTTGCCAACTTGTCCAATGAATCGGTCATCCTGATGGCTAGGAAGTGAGAAGACTTGGTAAGTCGGTCAACGATTACCCATATGGCATCTTATCCTGAACGTGCCTTGGGTAGCCCCGATACGAAGTTCATGGTGATATGTTCCCACTTCCACTCCGGGATCGGTAAAGGCTAAAGTAACCCACCTGGGCGCTGATGCTCTGTCTTGACCTGCTGACATACCAAGCATTTAGATACAAAGTCGGCTATGTCTCTCTTCATCCCATGCCACCAAAACCGGGGTCGCATGCTTTGGTACATTTTGGTGCTTCCTGGATCCATGGTAAACTTCGAGCTATAGGACTCCGTCATGATGTCTCTTTTTAACTCACTGTCATTTGGGACACACACCCTGTATTTGATATCAGTATTTTCATATCGATATGTTCATTTCACCTCTAGGTTTTGGACAAGTCTTTAACATGCCTTAAACACCACTTTATCTTTCAGCACAATATTTCACCCACAAACGAATGGCCAAATAGGGCTTGTGCACTAGAGATGGGAGGAAATTAGGACGACTATTTACCATTGATTGAATTTGCCTATAACAACAACTATCAATCCAAAATTAGTGCAGCTCCGCATGAAGCACTTTATGGCAGACCCTATAAATCTCCTGTATGTTGGGAAGAGATTAGGGATAGAAAATTAATTGGACCCGAATTAGTTGAAGAAACTATATCAAAAATTGTCCTAATTAAGAAAAATCTTCAAACCACCCAAAACATACAGAAGAGTTATGCAGAAAGCTGTAAAAGGGGTTTAGAATTTGAGATAGGGGATCATGTGTTCTTGAAGGTGTCACTAATGAAGAGCCTTATGAGATTTGGAAAGAAAGACAAATTGAGCTCTCACTTTATTGGACCGTTCAAAATACTGGAGAGAGTTAGAACTACCGCTTATCGATTAACATTGCCACCAGAGTTGACTAATGTTCATAGTGTATTTTATGTGTCCATATTACGCAAATATCATCCTGATCCGTCGTATGTAATTTAGTATGAAGTGATTCGTATTGAGGAAGATATGTGCTATTAAGAGATGCCCATAGACATATTGAATAAACAAGAGCAAGTATTGAGAAACAAGACTATTCTGATGATCAAAGTACTATGGCGACATCATTCACTAGTGGAAGCTACCGGAGAGACTGAGGACTCGATACGAGGTCGATTTCCTCACTTGCTCTAGAGACATATCAAATTTGAAGGACCAAATTTTTGTAAGAAATGGAGATTTGTAACATCCAGCCTAAATTAAATAAAGGAAATGTGAAAAATAAATGAAAAATTAGAATTTGGGTTTAAATGAAAGAGTTTTAATAATTTTGGGGCTTTATTTAATTTGAAGGATTTAAATGAAAATAAATATGAAAAAAGGGGGTGAAAGTATAAATAAGTGGAAGTGGAAGGGGGTAAAAAGAAAATAGAGATTGGATGGTCCTGATCGAACCGTCTGAGAGGATCAAATGGCTGAGATTAATGGAGAATGGACGACCTAGATCGAGCTAGCAAGATCCAACGATTGGGGAGGACAGGTATAAAAAAGAAAAATTTAGGGTTTCTCTTCATTTGGGTGAGTAGCCGAAAAAGATAGAGGAGGAGAGAAAAAAGTTGAGTCGATCGGGTGAGAGGGAAGAGAAAAGATTCTCGCACAAGGGAAGCTGAGAGGAAAAAAGAATAAGAGGAAATGAAGAGGGAGGCTGGAGAAGAAGAAGAGGAAGAAGAAAAAAAGAATGATCGAGCGAGAGAGGGAAGTGGGAGCTAAGAACGGCCGCCGCAAGGGAAGAAAAGGGAAGAAGAGAGAGGCGGAGGCGAGAGAGTGGTGGAAGCCGAGCCAAAAGGAAGAAGAAGGAAGAAAATTGGGCTGAGACGTCGTGTGACGGCAGAGACCGAGACAAACGAGGTAAAATGTTCGTCCTTTTTGTTTTTCTTTCCCTATTTCTTTCAATCCTTTTTTCTTTTTATACATTAATCAATTTGTAAGTTTAAAAATCATCACCCGAATCTCAAGTAAGCAAGAGAGCCGCGGGGTGGCCGAGAGGAAACCACTAGGAGCCAAACTGAGGCCGAATAACCCCATGCCAGAAAGGTGAAGCTTTTTTTTTGTTTTTTTGGTGGCTGTTGAGTGACGGGGGTGTGGTGGTTGATGTTGGGCTGGCCGCGTGAGCTCGGCTGGGTCACCCACCTGCACGGGAACCGAGGAGCATTCTTTGGGAGTGGGAAATCAGCCCACTGGTGGACTAGATTCACCTTTTTTGGGATTCTGATTCACCATTCGGGAAGCTGAAAGGTCTTCATCGAGTAGGAAAATTTGATACACCGAACGAGAAGTCAAAAGGTCTTCCCCAGGTATGGATCTTGATATTTTAGGTATTCTGTCGGATTGTTATTAAAATCCGTGATTTCGATTAAATTAATTTTGTTTAGTATTTAAATTACATTAATTAATTTGTATCGTGTGCATATAGGGTTAGGATGTTCAGGCGTATCCGGGAAGATTGTTGCGTAGAAGTGTAAGTATTTTTGATTCTGAATTTGAATTTTAAATTTTAAATTTGTATGTATTTTATTAATTTATGTGTATTTTAAAATTTGAATGAATACTGACCCGATTTTTGATAAAGAACAGAACCAGAACCTATAACCAGTGAACCTAAGCTATTAAAAATTATGAGGAGATGAAACCAAAAAACAAACCCAAAGACTGATGAATACTTGGACTATGATGAGAAATGGATTTAATAATAAAAGTAAATTACTAATTAAGTGGAAAGTTGAAAAAAAAAATAACATAAAAAACGAATAAAAATAAAAAGGATTAATTATGGTGGTGAAACGATTAGTTAAATAAGATTTAAGAGAAAGTAGAATAAGAGTAAAATAAATAAGAAATCAGAAATGAGAGGATGCGAATGATTAGGGTATGGACCCCGAATGCCTTTTTCATTTAGTCTGAATCGAGGAGGGGAATGTGTGTGTGGCTGAAGTTCAACGGGTATGGTGAACTTGTACATGTATAGAGTTTGAAAGCTAATACAGACGTGAATAAGTGTTTGTGAGTGTGGGTCACCTAGCAAACGTACTTGTTGTAGCCATTGTAAGATTTGTGTGTGTGTGTGTGCTATCCATGCGATGGGGGATCCATTTTGCCTCTCCTCGATGACGACATAAACGACATCACACGATAAAACCTTAGAAATGACATTTTGAGTATATATATGATATTTCGTGTGTATGTGGTTATGTGGTTATGTTTGAGGCTATGATCGATATTTAAGTGTCTCTATATTCTTTCGAGAGTATGTGGATATACATTTGAGGATTGTATACGATATTCGAGAGAATTCAGAAATCTGATCAGAAACATGTGAAATGGTAAAAATAATAAATGAATTTTGCATTGAAACATCACTATTGTATTTGTCTCATATTGTGTGTTTTGCATTAAATCTTATATAGGTCGAGAGAATGAAAATACTTATTGAGTCGGTGAAACTCATTAAATTATATCCTGATATTTTTCAGATGAGAAAGAAGAAACAGAACCGCTGTCAGACGAGTAAGACCTGTAAAAGGGTCCTGTTTTATGTATATTTTGTGCATATTTGAGAAATTTTCGTTTTGTTTTATTAAATTCTAAATTTAAATATCATGTTTTGTATATATATAATTACTGTATATATCACATGAGATGTTAGGTTATGTGATGAAATTTGATCTGTGCATATGTATATTTTGTGGGCCCATTGTATGAAAATAGTATGAACATGAATTGCGCCTCATGTTGAGTGTGGAGTATTATATTAAAGTTATGATTTATGAATAACAGTAACTTGTTAAAATTTTTTAATATAAAAAGAAAGAATTTAAAATATGACTAAGTTATCTAATTAGCTAATATTTTTTATAGTTAACCAAAAGAATAATTCTATTTTAAAATAATATATGATCATATTAATTTTTATCTTAACAATATTTTAAAAATGAAAAAAGATCATGTGGCAATTTTTGTTCTTCCTTTTATAAATATGATTGATTTTTTGAAGAACATTTAAGTTATAATACAAAATAAGTTCAAATAGTATATAAAATTAGCATATTAATATAATTATAAATATATTCCCATAAACATAACTATAAATACATTGTATTAAATATTACATTTGTAAATATGGTGCAAATATGTATGGAAATATTTATTTATGAATAAAATTAATTAATTATATAATTTCTCAAAATAACATGATATGTGTAATCTTAAGTTTCTTTCAGATATGAGAAATTTATTAACGAAAAGGTTATAGAAACTAATATAAATGGCTCCTTCCTTCTCCCCCAAAAAAGTCTTTATAGAACTTTACATTTAAGATGTCAAGCTGGGAAGAGAGAAAGAGGATAAATCTAATTTAAGAAATATCTATTTACACTGTGAATAAGATATGTTTGTATATACTTTTGTTATACTGTATCTTTTAATTTAGTAATTTGAGTTATGTTTCCTTAATTTACATAGGTATTATATATAATTTTTAATCATTATAAAAATTTATACATTGGGAATTAATAAAGCTGTTGTAAAAGTCAAAAGGGTATTACAACAATTGATTGGGAAAAATCATTTTTGCTATAGTAGCACATGTTAAATGTGATTTCTAACAAGGGAGAGTAGGAAGTTGATGTACTTGGTTGAATTATTAGACAAGTAATCGCCCACAAGTTGTGCATATCTCTCAAATAATTCATCCATGATATGTTCTCCAAAATGACTTTCTAACATTGACTCAACAACTGCTCTAATAGTGTTCGCCACTCGTTCTCCTCTTTGTATGAATTCTTCATTGTGGTTGCTTCCTCCATCCCAATCAATTTCCAATGCTTCAACTTCATTGATAACGAATGATCCTTCCTTTTCTATTTCTAATTTCAATTCTTTGATACTTGGAGCGTAATAAGGCACGTTAAGACTGTCTATCTTTTCCTTTTCAATAATACCCTGCAATACGATCACAAAATTATATAACTTATTTTTATTACTAAAATAATTATTATAATATTTTTTTTAAAAAAAATAAATTAATAATATGTAAAAATTAAATTTTAATTCTAGTTGATTTAAATATTAGATAACCTGACATAAACCATCATAATTCTTATTGAAAAAATCTATTTTTTTAATATAGTTCCACATATCGATGATTTATACATAGACGAGCAACATGTTGGAATATTGCAAAAGTCATTTCGTTAATATAGTTCAACATGTTGGTCTATGGATAGATCATTAACAACGCAAATGATGTGTCTAGAGTTTCACTATAATCAGCTGGAATATTGAAAAAATCTATTTTGTTAAGTTATACATACTGATGATCTATGGATAGATCATGGATAATAATGTATTTTGAATTTTATTAAGCTCAACTGAGATATTGTCATGTTGATTTTTTGTTGAATAAAAAACATCTTAAAAAGTAGTCTGTTCTTATAAATAGATTCCTTCTAATCTGCTTTAAATGAAATAATAGAAAACCATTTAGACACCACTATATAATTACTACACAAATACACACACACACATATATGTAGGTCCTGATACCTCTCTAGCCATGGTCATGAGTGCTTGTGCCAACAGCTCCCACTGGTAGCAGCTTTCCTCAGTTGTTGGATCACTGCATCTTCTACCCATGAAAGACAAGAACATGCGGCCGCCATGGACTAATTCTTCAGACCTTGATTTCAAAAACGTTGAAAAATCCTTCTGAAACTGGACAGAGTACGCCTCCAATACACACTCAGGGCTGCTCTTCGATATGTATAGCTTTCCCTTGTTTACCACTTCATTGCTTTCTAAACTAGCTGGGACCTAAACTTTGAGTACGAGAATATATACATGATCTACTCTGGATGCGTATATATAAGTGGGAACATATATAGTGCATGCATGGGCAGGTGATTATATATGTTTTCTACGAATATTCTTGCTATGAATATATAACTGATGGAAGAGAGAAGCAAAAGTGAAAAGGTATATATGTTAAAGCTAGGTATAAAAAAAAGGTATAGTTAACGTTGGATTGTTCAAGGGAATAAAAGGTATAACTTCAAAGGAATAAGAATATATATATATATATATATGTATATGTATATTACCTGGGATAGCCAGTGGAGACTAGAGGAAGAGTGAACAAAGTGCAGACATTTTCGAGGGAACAATCTGCCATAAAAGGAACCTGCAATTCCAGAAACAAAGCATGATCCCTTCACCTCTAATTCCTTATAGAAGGATGGGAGTTGTGAAGCGAATATATAGTTAAAATCATTGGTGGGAAGATCGTTGAGGGAAATTCTAAGCTCGGGTGATGGACGGCCCCGATTTCGACATGTGGCATGAATCACGTTTATGATCTCTGATATCACAGTCAACGTGTTAGGACCTGATGAACAACCCAGGTCTGCAATCTCCATCACCTCCGGAATCATGCTGCTGCAGGAAAGCATTTGTTCAACTGCTTCCTCCAACATTGTTTTTCCTTTGCTTATAATCATCCTCTGCATTTCCATAATATTATGTATATATATACCTTCATTATTTAACCAACGTATATCACCAATATCATTTACATTACATATATATAATTACAAATACCTGGACCTGCGAGTTTTTGGCATAACTATTCTCACCATCACCTTTGTTCATGTGGAGGGCTGGCGGAATTTCCATTATTCTCTCTGTGGATGTTAGTGTCAAATGCAATCAAGAGCAGAAAGAAATTGTAGCGAGGGGGAGATAAGGTTTCATTTGATATATATATATATAGAAGTATGTGCACGTAGCCAGACACGACCCCACCAAAAAGAATCAGCATGTGCTTTAAGTAAATATTAACAATTTAGAATTTAAGGATGTATAAGCGTATGGTTGGAATAACTCTTATAATTTTTGGGTGGAATTCATGCAAATTGATATCCACTTATTCTGATTACGATAAAATAAATGTACTTTATATAAAATTTTATATGAAATTAAAATAAAATTTCATTTTAAATTACTATTGATTTATTACTATTGAATACAAAACAAATCATATAATACGACTATCTTAATTACAAAATTATTAAAAAATATAAATATTATTATTTTAAATTATATAAATCTACTAATAGCTCTTAACAAGTAGAGATCAAGGAAAAAAATTTAATTGATTCTCTCTTTTGATATTATCGAGTTTTCTTAAAAAAATAATTAAAAAGAAAAATTGATGACTACTTCAATCAATTTAATGTTCCATTACATACACATGTTATAGTAATAATAATAACAACGTGAGAAAGTCGCATGCACACCATATGGTCGATTGGAGTTTTCTTTGATAGGAAAAGTTTTTATTTTTTTTTAAAACCATTTTATTAATTAATTATGTAGTACATGTACATTAATTATTTAAAAAATTAAACCATAATAAACATAAAACAAATCTCTACTCAAACTCAAAATTTCTTATAAAAAATAAATATGGTAATTAGTTTTGATATCATATTTAGTTAAAACAAATATCATATTTAACAGCTAAACAAATAAAAATATTTTGATAAGTTTGATGTCAAATAATACCACATATATCTATATTTCTCTTAAACTTGCTTAAAATAAAGCAATTGATCAACCATTTGGAAACTCATGGACGGTGTCAATAAAATAATATAGAATTCCGTATTTAGTCTTTTCTTAAAATTATAAGCTTATAATGGTATGAAACTTATTAACACTATAGAATCTATCATACATTGATAATTTATGACTCAATTTTACACCATATTTAGTTTTCATGTGGATGTTGATGGTATCACATGTTGATATTTTCTAACTCATATTTTTATACATGATATTTTCCGTATTTTTTAGTATGTAAACCTTTCATAACACATCAACATGTGATAGATTGGGCAGTGCCAATAAACTTTATACCGTTATAAGCTTATAATTTTAAGAAAAAATTTAATTGCATTGTTATCAACTTTCTTAGGGTAGAGACAATAACATGCTTATAAAAAATAATAATAAAGTATCTGGGTTATTTTGTAATTATAAAATAATTATGAGATCATTTTATAATTATAAAAATAAGATTGTAAATATTAAAAGTTAATTGAATATCCAATTAAACTTTAAATCTTTTTGTGGTTGTTCCAATCAACTGGAAAATTTATCATTATATAATTGAAAATACGAGAAGAATACATCAAATATGAAGAATATAAATACAGTTACGATTAAAATTGAATAAAACAAAATAGAAGTAAAACATTGTGCATCCTTTTAGTAATATGTATTTAGTTTTATTTTATAGAAGAGTTGATATGCATGCATGACTCCTAATTAGGATGATAAAAATGCAACATACGCACTCCCACATCGTATAGAGAAAAGAACTCTACGTATAGCATTTGTAGATTATTTTAGAAATCACACGCCTTAAAATTATATAGCCTTGCAATGAGCACAGAACGAACTATTCTTTCGCCTTTTACTAAAGAATACCGTGTGCTTATTGTTTTAAAAGGCAAATACCAATTTTTGGAAGGGTTTCTCTTTCAAAGAGCATAAACCCTTATCAAATCTATTTTAAGATTTACTGAGACAAATTATAAAGTACTTAAACCAATTGCTAAATAAAATATTCAAGGAGGGGTTATTCTTTGAGAATACAGCCCCTTATCTATTTTAAAATTTATGGAGTCAATTTGTAAAATAAGACTCTAAAGCCAATTTTAAGTATCTTTAGCCAATTACTAAGTTGTTTATTAAGTTTCTTGTTTAAAACATCTAAAAAATAATTAGAAAAATCACTGAAAGTTTCTTTTTAAGAAACCTTTTATGAAAAGGGATTTGGATTGGTAAGAAGCACTTCATGGTATGCCTTCCATGAAAGGAAAGAAAAATAGTTTGGACTGATTGTTTAATGGGATTTCGTTCAGAAAAAGTTAAATTAATTCAGAAGAAAACTAAATATTGGAAGTTTAACAAAGCTATAAATCAATCCAGGAAAAACCAAATATTTAAATTCATGATACACTATTTGAAATGAAGTAAATGCATTA